AGACAAATAATAATCGTCAAGTAAAATTATCTTAAAGATAATTAATCTTATATAGTGTAGTTATGACCTATAATTAATATGAACATTAAGAAAACAAAATGAGCTCAATAATTAATTTCAATAATGACATATAAATCAAATTACAATTCAATTTAAAATTTAAAAAGAACAGGGTGAGATTATATTTATGAGTAAAATTTTACAATGATACTGAGATAGATGCCTACATAAGTGCATGGAGACTTAACTGGTTACTTGGGAACTTTTATGGATGAGAGAACATTAGTTAAACGGTAAGGCAGAGACAGCGCCTTGGACAAGGTTAGATTAAGTTAGGTCAGGCTCTGACACTCGTGAGTTATTTTCAGTATTGGCATTGGGCGGATTCTGGTTTTCAGATATACCACAATCTATTTATTTATTTTATTTAATTATTTATATACAAGAAGGTACATTGGGTTTGTGAGAATACATAGCATAGTACAGTAATTACACTGTAATGACCACTCATGTAATAAAATATGAGTGGTCATACTTCGAAAATGCCTGAACCTCTTCCCACACTCTAGGCACTTATAAGGTTTCTCCCCCGAATGCACTAACATGTGAGTCTTCATATTTCCACGCTGACTGAGTCTTGCACGCTGACTGAATCTCCTCCCACACTCAGGACACTCGTGAGGTTTGTCACCCGAATGCACCAACATGTGTGTCTTCATACCTCCAAGCTGACTGAAGCTCTTCCCACACTCTGGACACTTATGAGCTTTCACATTCTTCGCGACAAGTGCAGATTATGTGAAGAATTTCGTGAGCACTTGGCGCTCAATGGTGATGCTCCTTTATGATAGGCGCAGTGTGTGTGAAGGTTATACCTTAATGCTGATGTGTGGAAACACAACACCAGCGTTTTGCAGTGTACTGGCGAGGAGGCGGCGAGCAAGAGGTCGCCGAGTCCGCGCGCGTTTAAGTACCCCACTCGATGCGCGCGCGCTACTTAGTCGGTTAGACACAAAATCACGGTAATACGTTTTCGTTCCCCACAGAACTTCACCGCTTTCAGGAAAAGCAGTGTCTATTTATCTATCCTGACAGCTGATTTGATATCAACGTTGACTTTGATCTTTGAATTAATTAGGGCGTGGGCTATGTTACAGCAATTCTCACCTTGTTGTTCATCAGGTAGATCAGTAGAGCTAATTATCAGGGAGTCATTAAGTTGTTGCTGCTCTAGGTCATCTTCGGAAGCCGCCTGGTGAATCTAAAGATTTATTTGCTTTTCCAGCTTTTGAAGGAAGTCACTTTAAGCTGATTGGGTTTCCCCGGCCTTGATCTTGTGTATTTGATCCATTGCATCATCTGCAACAGCTTGTAAAGTGAGAATTTCTTGGCTGTTATTCGTCAATGATTCAAGGAGGCTGTCTATAGTTTGTTGTTGTTAGGAGACCGTGGCTTGGAGGGCCGAAATTGCTTCTGATTGCAGGAGCACTAGGTTGTGGAGTTTCTGCAGCCATGGGTTACTCCTCAATGGTTTGAAGTTTAAACAGGGAGCCATAGATTGAATGAATTCTAAAGCTTGAGTTTTAAGTTGAGTTGAAGGCAGGGGGGGGGGGCAGAGAGGAGGGGAAGCGGATGCTGTGTTTACCAACATCAGCGAGGATTGCAGCATTGCCAGTGTTTCACTCAGGCCTCTTGGTGTTATGGATAAAGAGCGAGAGGCACCCTACCATGCTTGTTGCTATGTTTGGGCATGTTTTCGGCGATAGATTCTTGGTAGTGTTTCCAGAGGTAGATACTTGGAGAATCGTAGTCAAGTTTGGCATATAGTGAACATTTGGCAGCAGGGTCGTCGATACGAAGGCACAATGAAAATTGGTTAATTGTGGTTGATTACTGTTGAGGTTTGCTGTGAGTTAAGGTATATTATGTCTCCAAACACCTAACTCTTGCTGGGCAGCAGTTAGGCCATGCAGTGTTGGGTGGAGATGAAATTAACATGAATTTTCTGCTGCAGTGCCACTGCCGGTGCCACCCGCCAGCATTTCCCGCCAAAGAGATAATGGTTAAAGAGGGACCGAAACGTCATCGTCTCCTCATCTTCTGGTGTGTGGTTTAGTCTTCATCTACAGATGATTAACCATAAAATGTAGTCATGGCTCACCTTGCTGTCTTCTATTGTCATGGGCAGGAACCCCTCTAAGTCAACAACTGACCTTTCCCACGATGTAGCACACAACAGTTGCCAAACTCCCAGGTACCTATTTAATAGTACAAATAATAATTCTTTGTGCTGGGGGAAAGGCAGCCAGAGTGCATTTATACACATTAGGCTTATATTGAGGTTCCCCAAGAGGTCAAATTACTGACCTCCCCAGGACGCAACCCCACAACAAGCTGGCTAACTCCTGGGTACCTACTTGCTGCTAGGTGAGAAAGCCTTTGGTGAACAGGGGCCCCTTAGATGAACAGGGTTATCTTGAGATGATTTCAGGGCTTTAGTGTCCTGCGGCCCGGTCCTCGACCAGGCTTCCACCCCCAGGAAGCAGCCCGTGACAGTTGACTAACACCCAGGTACCTATTTTACTGCTAGGTAACAGGGGCATAGGGTGAAAGAAACTCTGCCCATTGTTTCTCGCCGGCGCCCGGGATCGAACCTAGGACCACAGGATCACAAGTCCAGCGTGCTGTCCGCTCGGCGCACCGGTTCCTTTTTTAGGAGCCTTAGGTGATAGGAAATGCACCCAACCATTTCTGTCCCGCCCGGGTTTCGAACGAGGAATTCTTGGTTCCGAGCCAAGGACAAACCTGACTCTACTACCGGGACCCTACTTTTTTTTACTGTTTACTGCTAGGTGAGAGGAGACATTAGATGCAAATTAAACATTGCCCAAACACTTCGGTTTTACAGTGGGAATCAAACCTGGGTTTTACTGCTGTGATGGTCCGTCTAATTACCTAAAGCTACCCAAATTTACTCAAAGCTACCCAAAGTTTCCTAGCATTACCTAAGTAATGAAGAAATATGATATATTTACTCACTATATTAGTGTTGAATGTAAAACATGAATAAACATATTTTTACTCTGAAAAATATAAATTTATAATGAAACTAGACGAAACTAAGTGGCATGAGAGGCCATAGGAAGTCGGTGATCCAAGCGACACTGTTGTGGAGCGACTTATCCAAGATGAACAAATCATTCAAGATATACTGTTGCCTAGAGATTATATTGTTAGGTTTAGTTAGGTTAGGTTAGGTTTGGGTAGGTTGGTTAGGTTAGGTTTGGGTAGGTTGGTTAGGTTAGGTTTGTGTAGGTTGGTTAGGTTAGGCAGGTACAGTAGGCTAATATGCCAGCAAACATTGTCGCATGGACCGTCGACTTGCTTTGGCATCACCAGCTTCTTATTTTCATCTAATTTTGTTATAAAATGATACTTTTTCAGAGTAAAAATATGTTTGTCATGTTTTACATTCAGCACCAACATTACAATAAATAAATATATTACATTTATTCATTACTAACGTAATGCTAAGAAACTTTGAGTGGCTTAGGGTAATTAGACGGACCCTGCTGTGACCCAACTTTGTTTACCACTGTGCCATGTTAAGATATCTTTGCCTAACATGATGAAAAATGTACCTCTTGTTAACAAATATTACTTTAATTGTTGTACATTTGTATCTTGTTTATCAGTGTTTTTCCATATCTTGCCTGAAACACCTTGTGTATTAGTGGCTTTAGGCATCGTACTTGTCTTACCTAGGAATCTTTCACTGTTCTTGTATCTTATGTTTGTATGTATGTCCTTTTACTTAAATAAATTATTATAATCATGAGGCATTAATTTAAAATAAGCACTTGTATGCCATTATTCATGCACACTTAGAATACTGTTTACCTTACCTAATGATGTAGATATATTTGATACAAACTAATATAAATGGCCAAAAGTCACATCGTATACAAAGCTTGGTCACCACCTGATTTTAAAACTTATCTACATAATAATAATCTTTATTCACAAGAAGGTACAATGGGTTGGAGAGATTACAAAGATTGGTATTTTTACATTTTTTTCATTTATTTATATATACAAGAGTTGTTACATTCTTGTACAGCTACTAGTACGCGTAGCGTTTTGGGCAAGTCCTTAATCCTATGTTCCCTGGAATACGACCCCCACGAAGAATCGTTTAACAACCAGGTACCCATTTTACTGTTAAGTTAAACAGAGGTTACAGTCAAGAATTTTTCACCCAGTAAATCCTCCCCGGCCAGGATACGAACTCAGGACAAAGCACTCGCAGAATGCCAGGCGAGCGTCTTACCACTACGCCACGGAGACTGCAAAGTCACTAACGTGCTTAATGTTTCGGGCGGAAACATTATCGAACCTAGCCTAACCCAACAGACGAACATAGAAAATCTAGGCTAATGCCTCTTAACCTAATGAAATATAGTTATTACAATTGAAAAATGATGTCGAAACGCTTTTGTACAAATTTCCTATTATTTGTGAATTATATCCTTAAAAGTCTAGGATAAATGTTTTTTACGATTATGTTTCGTATGTTTAACATTTTCTGCGGAAGAGAAATGCACTGCAGTTCCTGATAAATAACATTATATAAAATCTATGATAGATTGTGTTAATGTCAGGTGTGATACAGAATGACTGTATCACACCTGACTTGTTCAAGGTTACACACATTTTCTTATAATTCATAATTCACCTGCAAACAGTTATACAGTATTATGAAAGATATCCTGGTTTCTATGCTATAAATATTCAAAGAATATAGCATTTCAGGGGAAAATGGTGATCCATAAGCTATATTAAAAAATAAAATACATTTGCCTTTACTCTTAATTTTTACCTTAGTTGTTCCTGTGGTCCTACTAGCTTATAATTCCATTACAAATGAGCCCCTGAAAGTAATATATATATGAACATTGTAATATACATATATATATATAACACTGAATATAATAACTTACTTAATTTCCACAGCAATAATAAAACTTCCAAGGTTTCATGTAGTTTTGGAGGCTCGACGTTGCCAGCTGCAGAAAAGCTGCAAGCTGCAAAATGCAATCTCTGGCTACATTTTTTGGTCGCCAAACTTATGATACTAAGTTTTAACACTAATTTCCAAGTATTTTATTTACGTACAATGACGAGGGCAAGGCATATTCGTTCTAAAATTGCTAATATACATTACCTAGCAACAATCGCTAATAATTTGAATCCCAAATAAACTTAGTTTTAATTAACTATATGCTATTAATAAATTGATAATAGGTATGTCATAGCACAAATCACATTTAAATGTTAATTATGTGTACTAATAAATCCAATATGCAATTGTTAAAAAAGCATACATATGGCAACACTTGCATTTACACAACTGGTTATTTTCACGTGAAATGAATGAATGACATTTCTATATATAAATATAGATATTTAAAACAAAATCTGCATTAGTATTGGTAAAAACAATAATACAAAGGTTTTAGGTATGCATTTTTAGTAACGACGATTTATCTCAAATTCCAGTTGCATTAACACACCTATCTCGCTGTTTTGAAATAAATGTAAGTCTTCTAAACAAAGAAAATTCATAGACACTTGAAAAATAAGAGTAATATTTTTTATAAAATTTTATTTCATAATATTTAAATATATCCTGTCAAATGACAATTTATATGATCTTATCCACAACTAAAATATAGTACATACCAAAAAAATATCATCTTTGTTTATTAACACAATCAAAACAGAAATGCCAACCCTATACATCCGTCTAAATAATTAACCAATTGCAAAGATTTATTGCATAATTGTCGAATTCTTGCTGATAAAAACTGATTAATTGGTGATCACATTGTCAGACGTGAGTAGCGAGTCTAGTTCATTTATTATGCACCTCATACCCATCCTGTGGGCGGTAATGGAACATTGTTTTGGACAACTTCAAGCTTTTTCCACTATTGGTGTGAGGTATGACTTGTGAGGGCAGGTGCGGTATAGTCGATCATTGATCTGACTACCTGTACATAGTATGTGAGAAGGACTTTCAGATTGGCTCCTACAGAGAGAGGTTAATTAGCGACTGAGGATTGCCGTCCGGGCTGCAGTTCTCTCTTAAGTAAGTGACTTCAGTATTAAAATTTGTAACATACGATTATGTTACGTTGTTGGGTAGATTAGATACACAGTGTTTAGTGAGTTTCATATTTATTTAGTAGTCCTGAATACAGCATTGTCGTAGACGTTGAGACGGAGCTTGGGGCAGAGCAGAGAGCTGAGTGTGGCCGGAGTCGCGGAGCTCTGTGGGAGAGCGTTGTAGCTCCATGTGGTCTTATAGTCTGCTGTCTATTCTGTGTCAAAGCTGTAGTGTCTTGGAGACGATTAGAACTGCCTACGCCGAGTGCTACATTCTTGACTGGAAATTGTACCGTCGACTATTTTTGTTGTTTAAGATTCGCTACTCATAACAATAAGTTCCAGTAGCACGGGCTATGGTGAGCCCGTAAGTGGAGGCTCTTTGGAGCCATTATCTGTATCAGTGCTGATACAAGAGATGTGGCGATGGATGGGGGTCTTCATGATGGTTTTCAGCCTGGAGGGCTGGCTATACCAGTTATGGAGTTGGTGGGGTTAGTGTAGACCTCTAGGTTTTCCGTTTTTTCTTTGCCTGCGACTTTGGCTGAGCAGTGCTGTCGTTAGAGTTTGATGACGTGGCCTCCATGAGGAAGTCTTGATCCGTGTAGGTGTCGTATTTGTGATGCGGCAGTGGAGCTCCTTTGGCGTATTACGCCACTTGGCGTATTATTACGCCAATTGGCTTCAGACCCAAAAAAAACACTAACGATGCACTTATTAGTATGATTAACTTGATACATACAGCTCTTGATAAAAATGATTTCCCTGTTGGGTTATTTGTAGACCTGCGTAAGGCTTTTGACACTGTTAACCACCAAAACCTTTTTAAATTACAACATTATGGAGTCAGAGGTCACTCCCTGCAGTACATTAAGTCTTACCTTACTGACAGGCTCCAGTATGTTTCTGTGAATAATTCAATTTCTCCCACCCTACCCATCAACATTGGTGTTCCCCAGGGCAGCATACTTGGCCCTCTCCTCTTTCTCATCTACATTAATGACCTTCCAAATGCCTCCCAACATCTCAAACCAATTCTATTTGCTGACGATACGACCTTCATTTACTCCAGTCCTGACCCCCTTCCTCTAAATGTCACAGTGAATACTGAGCTAAATAAAGTCCATTACTGGCTAACTGCCAACAAACTCACCCTCCATATTGACAAAACTTTCTATATTTTGTTTGGCAATAAATCCTCAAATCAAATAAGTCTCAGGATTAACAATACCCAAATTTGTAACAAAGTAGATGGCAAATTCCTTGGCGTTCTCATTGACCGCAAGCTGAGTTTCCAGGGACACATTCTAAATATATCAAAAAAAGTTTCTGAAACTGTTGGCATTCTTTCTAAGATAAGATATTATGTATCTCGCCCTGCCCTGGTGACACTCTATTATTCTGCTTGGAAAACCTTGGAAAACCTCACAAATCCAGCTCCGAACATCATCCTGCTTGGGGACTTCAACCTACGGCACCTGGCCAATACAGTAATATCAGAAAGAATACCAGGAAGTGGCCTAAATGAACAGGCACATGCAAATGACCTGCTACGGATGTGCGACAGGTTTGCCTTAAACCAGCAAATAGTAGAACCAACTAGGAAGGAGAACACGCTGAACCTCATTTTCATTAATAATGATGAATTGATCAGGAACATAATGATTACAAATACCTGTTACTCAGATCACAACTTAATTGAAGTTATGACAACCATGGGGAGTAGACCTTCAAAACCAGTCCAGATTCCCGGTGGAGGAGATTTCAGCAAATTCAACTTCAATAATAAACAGATAAACTGGGAGCAAATAAACCAGGACTTCGCAGAAATAAACTGGGAAGAACAGCTAGAAAATGCAAACCTGAACCAGTGCCTGGAAAAAATAAGCTCAGTAGCACTAGAAATATGTTCAAACCGCATACCCCTAAGAAAAAAGAGGAAGAGATGCAGATTGGAACGAGAACGTCGTTCTCTATATAGGCGAAGAAAACGAATCGCGGAACAACTTGAGAGTCGCACCCTATCTCAAGAACGGCGAAGAAGGTTACTAGGTAGAGAAATAGAAACAATTGAACGGAAGCTACAAGAATCATACAAAACCCAGGAGAGGCAAAGAGAGCAAAAGGCCATCAGTGAAATAGAGAGAAATCCAAAATATTTTTTCTCCTATGCAAAATCAAGATCAAAAACCACATCTAGTATCGGGCCCCTGCGAAAGGGAGATGGAACTTTCACCGATGACAACAAAGAAATGAGTGAGCTACTGAGGAAGCAGTACAACTCTGTTTTCAGCGAGCCATTAAACACACTAAAGATTGATAACCCAAATGAATTTTTCATGGATATGATACCAACATCAAATCATATATCAGACGTCACCCTATCCCCACTGGATTTTGAAGAAGCCATAAACAGTATGCCTATGCACTCTGCACCAGGCCTGGATTCTTGGAACTCCATATTCATAAAGAACTGTAAAAAACCACTATCGCAGGCCCTCCACATTCTGTGGAGACAAAGCCTAGATACTGGCGTTATTCCTGATATACTAAAAACAGCAGAGATAGCACCACTTCATAAAGGAGGAAATAAGGCACAGGCAAAAAATTACAGACCGATAGCACTAACATCGCACATCATAAAAATTTTTGAGAGAGTGCTAAGAAGTAAGATCACAAAATACATGGCATCATGTATTATGATGCCATGTATTATTATTATTATGTTATGGATACAGCATCTCCATAACCCCGGACAACATGGTTTCAGAACAGGGCGCTCTTGCCTCTCGCAGTTGCTGGACCACTATGATATGGCATTAGATGCTATGGAAGACAAACAAAACGCTGATGTAATTTACACAGATTTCGCAAAAGCTTTTGATAAATGTGACCATGGTGTTATTGCACATAAAATCCGTTCAAAAGGAATTAGCGGAAAAATAGGCAGATGGATCTACAATTTCCTGACCAACAGAACCCAAAATAGTAATAGTCAACAATATAAATACTATTACTAATAGTATTTAATAGTCAACAAAATAAGTGTAATAGTCCAACCCGTTCTCGCAAATTCGTAAAGTCAATATTGACTTATTAACTACGTGCATAGGTGATATACTAAACATAATAGATACCCTTAAAAAGATTCATAGAAAACACCGACCTTACCTAACCTTGTTAGTATCTTAAGATAAGCATCTTATTGCTTCGTAATTACAATTATTACTTAACCTATACCTATTATAGGTTAAGTAATAATTATAATTACGAAGCAATAAGATGCTTATCTTAAGATACTAACAAGGTTAGGTAAGGTCGGTGTTTTCTATGAATCTTTTTAAGGGTATCTATTATGTTAAGTATGTCACCTATGCACATATTTAATAAGTCAATATTGACTTATTAAATTTGCGAGAACGGGTTGCTAGTCAGTGTCAACAAAATAAAATCCAGCCCATCAACCGTGAAGAGCTCAGTCCCCCAGGGTACTGTGCTTGTTCCAGTACTTTTTCTCATCCTCATATCGGACATAAACAAGAACACAACCTATAGCACTGTATCATCCTTTGCAGATGACACTAGGATCTTCATGAGAGTAGGCAACATAGAGGACACGGCAAACCTCCGGTCAGATGTAGATCAGGTCTTTCTATGGGCTACAGAAAATAATATGGTGTTTAACGAAGATAAGTTCCAGCTCATGCGCTATGGAAAAAATGAAAATATAAAAACGGAAACCACGTACAAAACTCAGGCAAATCATAACATAGAACGAAAAGGCAATGTAAAGGATCTGGGTGTACTCATGTCGGAAGACCTTACCTTTAAAGAACACAATAAAGTAGCCGATACAACTGCAAGAAAAATGACAGGTTGGATAACAAGAACTTTTCACACTAGAGATTCTGTACCGATGATGATACTTTTCAAAACGCTTGTGCTCTCTAGAGTGGAGTACTGCTGCACAATGACAG